TTACTCTCTAGTTACAGGTGTCCATGGGCAGCTGTAGTAAAGTGAACCTTCAGCTAGTATGTCCCTTATACAAAAAAAAAGGCAGGAATATACATCATACTAAACATTTCCCATCCCAGTGTATGCTGTGTCCATCCAAATTTCTGATATACGACGCATCTCTCACTAACATAAAGGACTACTTGCAACAAAAGTATTTTGTGACTGTAACCTTTTACTAATGGTAGAATAATAAAAAATAAAAAAAAGACGAGCTGTTGCCACGTTATACATTTGACATGTGAGTACCAGTGTGGTTGTGGTAAATGCCACGTAGCCACATTGTGCGTGACATGTGACATGACACTTTTCAATCACTCTAACCAGTCATTTGACAGTTCTTTTACAATATACTGTCAAGTAACATTTGCTCGTGCATGCTTTGAGTACTTAGTACATACGCGGAAGTGCTAAACCTGTTCTAAATTTAATTGTCATTAAATACGACCATTGTATAAAGTATCGTGAAAAAACTATGAATGGCTTGTCTTGCTTTGTGTAGTATGTATAGCTTTTCAATATCTCTAAACAATCTTAATCTCATTGTCATCTGCGTTGCATTGATCGCTGTCAGAAACTAACAACGAAACTGCACCAATGGAAAAATACGAGAAAGTGGTTTAGAGTTCAAAATTGTTTGCAGCTCTACCCATTACTAAATATATTAAGTCTGCAGCAAACGGCGGTCAAGCAGTTATTTTCAGTCTCGTGGTCTTGATTGTGAGAAGACTCATTAGGGCTTATGTAAGGGCTCACAACGTTCAAGGTTGGTGTTAAGAATGTTAATAGGTTACTCTGATTTGGATTTTACATTGGAAATGAACTGTGATCAACATTTTCATGCAAAAATTTCCCGCATTAGGAATATATCCTGTGTCGCGGTGAACTTTACAAACACATATGAAACGGACACAAAGAACACACAGACTCAGAACAAAATTGTGTGGTTCACACAAAGCGTTGTCCCATGTGCGGATTGAACGCACAACACTAGGCCCCGTAGGCAACGCTGTAGCAATCCCTTAAAATACTACGCCATCCGTGCATTCAAATCTTTTTATACCACCAGGATCATAAATAAGCAACTACTCAGAATGATGATATGGCAATAATTTATTTTAATTTTTAAGAACCCTAAATTTAATAAGCTACTCCAGGTACTAATAATGATAAATTTTTCGTATCTTTAAAAGTAATTCATTTTCATCTTGATTTTAGATATTCCAACAATTTAAAATAATGATGTGAGGAAACTTATAGCTATGGCTGGACTACGGAGACTGGAGAGAGCAGTCTACCACTGAGTGGTGAAGTTAGGAGTTCAAAAAGAGGTTACCGTTGACCTTACTATGAAAAAGTAAAACGTGAAGTGAAACCGCACATCCTCTAACACACTTAAACTTCATAATTGAGCAGTAACGAGATACGAGTGTTCTGTGAATTGCTTTGCGTGACTAGTGCCATGGTTCTGTATCAGCTAGTAACCATCATGTTTATTATTTCATCACGTTTCTGATTCTAATGTCTCAATAATTGTGGCTCATTTGACTAGCATTTTTGTACGTTTTCTACTTTTATAATGCATATCATAATCTAGTATTTTTAAGTAAAATTTATAAACAAATAGTTTTGCGTGATAAAATGTGTGTTAGTAAACGTTAATTCTTTGAGTAAAAATAGATATTAATTTTAGAAAAAAAAATGTTTAAAAAGGCTTGTTTGAAAGTATTTTTATGACCTTGGATATTCTCTGCAAAATTTAGTTTCCAGTTGTCGATTTCGAACTGCTTTGCTCCTTGCAGTGATGTCTAGGCACGGGAAGCGGAATGTTTTCGAACGAAATGGTAAAGATTTTGAATCCGGCTTATGTAGAACAGAGGTGAGATACGAAGTTTTGAGTTTTTTGAGTAACTTGGTTTACAACTGCACCGAATTAGTGGGTGGATAATAAAACAATCAAATGATAGACCATCACTTTCTATTTTTATTAAACAAGGTAACTTGCTAATGGCTTAGTGTTATTTCAAAAAAAACATTATTATACCTAAAAACACTATTAGGACAGAAACAGTAGATTGCTACGCTTGCTACTTACGGTTGTGTAAGTCCAACGTTGTCTAAGGCCCAACTGTCGATACCAACTCTCCCAAGTTGCAGCATTTTAGCATTTCCACGTTCAATAATTGAATTCCATATTGTAATAAGATACTTCATTTTTATTAAATGTTTTTCCCTTAAGTTTTCATACCGACATTTCGTAAGGAGGTCTTATCGTCACAATTCACATCGTTTATTTCATCTTTTAGTCAATATTGTTGTAACGTTGAAATTGTATCCGATAAATTTATATTATTTTCTTTGGCGTTAAACTAAAGCTACATTAAAAAATTCGTCTCGCTATAGTGTTTCAATTAAATACAACAAATGATTAGTCACAATTTGCCACCTTTGGATACTGTATCGAGGACAAAAACTTGATTATTGTGTTACTGATACAAAAAAAAACCTTAAGCTCGACTAGAAATTCTATTCGAGATTCTTTTAAGCACGCAGCACATTTTGAATTGCTTGTACAGTAATTAATAACATAATCACTATACACGAACATATAGGTTTTCCTTCACCTTCTTGAACTTTAAATAATAAAAAATCAAAGTAAAAATGGAGAACCTGCCACATTGGCAAATTTTGGGTTGACAAACTAAACAAAATCTTCAATAATCTGGTGAAACAGGCAAAGTTATAGAAGTCAGTTTGAGTAATTATAAAAGTACAAAGTAAAAACCATATTCGCTAAGAAACTAGTTTTTTTGTCTTACATTAAAATAAGGTGTGTTTGATATACCTCGAAGCGACACGACCATTGTTCCGCTACCGCAAATAACTCGTAAACACTGCTTTTCTCATAGCCACAAGAAAATACGTAGATATTATATAAAGTAGCTATTTAAATACCATCGCAGACTAGGGTATAATTTTACTAGCAAATATACGTAACATCCGTTCTCTTGAATCACTAAGTAAAACTTAGTAATCTCTTCAGTACGTTATTTAGAAGTTACATTGGAGTAACTTAACGAGCGACGGGTTGAGTAAAATGTTAAGAAAGAGGATTACATATTATTTTTACATAAAGACAACTAGGTATATATTGTGACAAGGGGGACTTTACGAACATTCATGAAACTGACATGAATAACACCTAGACTCGAACTCGCTTTTCAAGTTTTTATTATATTTCATTAATTTTTTTGCAAATTGTATGGGCAGCAGAGGGTATTGTAGGGCTGAGTCACAACAAGGTTGTAGACTAAACAAAAAGTAACTAGTCTCAACATCATTGTTATGGATCTAGGACACTGCCGTTGACACTACATTCATTAAACGGGCTCTATATACTTATATATATATATATAGACCTGAGCTGACCCGGCAAACGTTGTTTCGCCATATACATTATTTCTAGGCAATACTGAAAAAAAAAATTAGGGTTGTGTCACCCTTGTCATTTAGGGGTATGAAAAATAGATGTTGGCCGATTCTCAGACCTAACCGATGTGCACACAAAATTTCATAAAAATCGGTCCAGCCGTTTCGGAGGAGTATGGTAACTAACATTGTTGCACGAGAATTTTATATATGAGATAATCATCATATATTCCCATTTACCTATTTATTGGGGGTCGGGGCTATGTTTTACGTTTGTGCGGGTCTCTAAATAGTATGGGCACCTGCCTGACTGTTACGATAAGTATTATTGCCTTTAATACTCAGAGCCCTTCGTACCCGTTAAAGGTACACTAACTTTAAATGGTTTTGATTGTTAACATAATTATAACTGTAGTAAATTTGATATAAGAATAATAAGTTTTTTTTTTACAAATAAACTCATTCTGTGGGTTTTTACTTTTTTTTCCCGTTGTTGTTGTTTGTACTCCAATCAGAATGAATACTCTAATAATTTTTATCTCATGACATAGAATATTTTACCTTCCCAACTAATTGTATCTACAAATAATGATGTCGTAGATCATGTAGTAGACAAAAAACTGCATCGTGGGTCGTGGTTTCACTTTTCGATTTGACTGCGAATCTTTCGGAGAAGTCTGGATTCGAAGTTGATTTTTTTGGTTTTATTTTTCGAAATCTTTTAATTTTATATATTACTAAACTAAACTATACTCAATTTTATATATTAGGAAAATAAACTCTTTTGAATATTCTTCATCAAGTAATAAATATATACAATATTCAATATTTAATTTTTAATCGATTAATATTTAAAATTTGCCCTTAGCGTGTCACTTTAAAAGACATCAACGCCCGTCGAGTTAAAATTAAACAATTCGAAATAAAATTTCAATACATCATTGTGACATCGTCAGATTGTCAGTGCCCAATCGATTTCATCAGCATTTCACCATATATCGATATGTGCTATTTCATAGAATTGTGACAATAATCGATTTGTTATCGTTAGAAAGTTCACGTTCAATCGTCTGGTCACGTTTGTTCAATTCGCTTGTAAATTTTATAATCAATCCTATTATTATTAGGCACTCGATACTAGTTTTGAAAGGCTGGCCTTTGTTGAGATCAAGAGCAGTACAACCAGTTTGACTTGGTTTGCGACCTCCTGTGCTCCTGTCTGCAGTTCCGGGTTTGGATCTCGACCTGCAAAATTGAAGTTCATTTAGTCATAATTATTGTTTGTTTATTCTAAAATAATAATTCATGTGTGAATGTTTTACTGTTTTTAGAATTGACTACAGTACAATTGACCAAAATACGTGTTAAACAAGAAAGTGTTTGTTTACATTAAAGGTGATATTTGTTTATGCCCGGACACTTATGAACTGCTTCTTCACAACTAAGCTTATAAACAATGTTTGGAACAAAAATGAAGACGATAAAGTAAATGGGTTTGTTATTGCGGCGTCACATCGTTTTGAACAGTTGCCATGCAACAAGATATCTGCAAGGAAACCGCTGAGGTTGCGAAACAGGCGGGCCGCGGTGCGAAGGTGAAGGAGCCGCGCCAGTCGCTATCGCGAGAGAGTGGCGGGCGCACGACGACGCTTACCTGCGTGTGCGCGATACACACGGCCCCTGCGCCACACCGCTCGCCGCGCGCGCATAAGTGCACACCCCTGCACCAACAACTTAACAAAATTACCCACATTACAGTGATATTGTGAATTAAACTTTTGTGCTAGTGTTTGTGTTCGACTGTTCTCTTCGGATTCCCAGTGAGTGCTGACGGAGATTGTGAGAATTTTTCTCGTTATTTGACACACATATGACGTGAATAACGGTGCGGGGATCCGACACCCGATCGACTCGCTAAAATCAAATAAGTGTTAGTGTATCTTAAAAGCTGTGTACCGGAATTTTAACGGACTTGCCTAAGCAGAGGTAAGAACGAACTTTTACAGTTATGCTTATTGTATAACTTTAACGGTGGTGGTGAAAGCTTTCTTATAAGAATCATGTTAGTTAAAAAATTAAACATCATCTTCGGTAATTTTTATTCATCAACTGTATGAATTGCAGATGATAGAATATTGTTAATATACTTTAAATGTATAGGTGAGAAGTTTTATTCGTCACTAGTTTCATTTCAAAAGTAACAAATTTGAGTATTTTAAACGAATTCATATGCAATATTCATAACATGGTAAGAACAAGTTTCTATGGGTAGGCACAACAACTCGCACACAAATAAAAAGTAAGAATTTTAAGGCATTCATAATTCATAGAAGAGCTTATGAATATTCAAATAAAATATTTAGTCTATATCAAGACACCAACGAAAAAGTGAGGGAAACCTTTGTGGTAGTGTAGTGTGTGTGTCCAGAATAAACAATAGTTTGTTGGGTGAAAAGGTCTCTGACTCATCTAACGTGCCACACTGGCTTTGGAGCTTCTGTTAAGAATACATTTACTTTTAAACAGAGCTTTGTACTCTTTAAAATACAGTCAAAGAGATGAAATTTACTGTTTGTTCTTCGCAAATACCATGACGTTTTTAAGTCAACTATGTACCTTTTATTCGGTAACGCGATAGTACTAAACGTAAAACTGTTAAAGAAAAATAAAATCCTGAAACAGTTGCGATAAATCGAAGTTATATACCTGTATAATCAATAAATATATATAGATTTTACAGCTATACTTTAAAAGGTAGTCAAAACTAGACATAAGATATTTGTAAGACATAGATGAGTTTGTTAGTATAGGTTTAGAGGAATGAAATGTTACGAAAACACAACTACCTATGCTTCTCTGTCTAAAATAGAATAGTAAAACGAGATTACAAATTAGTAATATGAACCCATAACATGTTTTATTGCCTTGTGGCTAAATCCACGCAATACTTTTGAGGAAAGTTACGACATTCATGCCATAAACGTATGTAATGTACTTTATGGGACAATTACAACCTTCCGTCAGATTATTTAGGTATGTTTTTGTTTCATGCCCTAAAGCGACAGCTTCTTAAAATAAGCAGTTTGTAGTCTCCAATATGTAAAGGACTGGAGGCATCGTATACCTACATATGTTTGGATTCATAAACAACGATAAATTTTAATAACGTTTGTATAAATATGTAATTTAACAAAAAGATATTTTTTTTATTAGGAGCATAAGATGTAGTTTGATGTAAATTACAGAATCGCATTAAACTTGAAATTTCTGAAGATGTTTGTAAACATTGAAGAAAATCTAGAAATCCAAATTTAATTATTTTTTTTATTTGAATCCTCTCACTTACTTGTGGTTATGATTACGAGTTTGTTCCTATGGGCTATGCTGTGATGTCGAATAGCCTATTACAGTCCTCAAGATTCTTCAATCACTTGCAGTCTCTATCATTTGAAGATAATTGCAAAAACTTTGCGTTAAACTAAAAAAAACAAACTCTTTGTGTAAAACTTTAGTTTAGTTTTCAACTATACATAGGTATAGTTGAATTATAATTTAATTGACATTCCAGAATATAGACTCTGGAATGTCAATTAAAAAAAAGAGAGACACGAAACTCCCAAATATAAGGAAGAAATTTAAAAAAAAAAAACGTTATCTGCGCCCATAAACAAACGACACTATCATAACAATACATGGATATTTATAAAAGTGCAAACACAGGGTGGTTGTAAAAGCTCCTTCAAGCTGATAAGGTTTGATATTTTAAACATACAATCACACATCTTTGAGCATGTCAGCCGACCTTGGTATTCTGCTTTTACTTCTAACATGTATGCCTTAGATGTCAGATAAACATATTTTCATAGGACTGTTGACTTAGTTGATAATCCTCTAACCTTTATTATCAAAGGTTTTGTTTAAAACATATGTAACAGAGTATAACACATTGAAGAATATTCATAAAAATAGTTGATATAAAATTAGAAATAAAATCGTAGGCTGTAAATAATCAATTAAATCCTTTTATGTTTCATCTAAATATATTGCCTCGCAATTTATTTCAACAAAATGAATGTAACCTTTAACTTATGAGTAGCAGAAAGGTCAAGAACGTCCGTCTATAACATTTTAACAAGACCACTTTTAAATGTCAATTTGTAGTATCGTATAATAAGCTACAAAATTGGATTTATTTCTCACGAAATTAAATAGTAATCAAATTAAAATGCGTTATTAATAAGAATTTAAGATTGTGTTATAAAAATTGCAATGATTTTTCGCTTTGAAACTTGTTGGTGTGTAAAGACCGGTTCGAGTTCGATTTTGTTTGTTTTTAAAACAATAACGAATTATATCTTTACGAGGTTGTTTAAAAGACATTATAATTAAAATAATGTAAAGGTAAAAAAGACAGTGTTTTAGCAATATTGTCCTACCGATATCAGGTATACTTGTAGGTACTAGTTTGATTACTACTTACTAAATGTCTTCTAAATAAAAATCTATTGTAGTAAAATTATAAAAACATATGAGACACACTGTTCAAACGCCTTTATATTTAAGTTAATGTACATTTAGATTGCGCATCCACACGTACAAAAGAATATCACCAATTTTCATTTGATTTTATTTTCTGTACTGGATGGAAATATGTTTATAAAAACCTTTTTGTCTACCTCATAGTTTTTGTAAGTGCTACTTAAATTGTTATTCCAATTTATTTTCTCTTGGTTCTGGAAAAAAATACTGACATTGTATCGAGTTATAAGATTTCTAACAATTTGATTGTTTTTAGATTTTTGATAAGATACTGAGAAATATATTTATGGATTTCAACATAGTTATTTCATAGTCACTGTACATTTAATATAATATAGCATTAAGTCTCCGTAATGTTCATTTTTTTTTTGTGAAAACAAATATTATTTTCGTAATTTTAAATACATTCAACAATAAAAGTTTCATTTAATTCTGGAATTTAATGACGTTTTTCTTTATCGTGTACTCTTAAATACATAGAGTATTACATCAACAGCCTTTAATAGTCCACTGCTGGACATATGCCTCTCTTTAGAAAACTGTGCTTAGAGTATACATTAATATTATTTTACTTTATTTATTAATATTGTTATTACCTATAAATCATACGAGAAGGAGTTTCGTAGCATGTACGCCGTTCAATATATCCCTGTGTCTCAGTCTTATAATAGTTTCCGTTTCCTACTTTTCAGTATTGTTATTTCAACGCAATTTATTTTGTTAAGGAGGTTAGTTATTGGCTTTCGTTCACAATGCGGGATATTGGAATCCGTAAAGAAAACGATAGTTTAGTTCAGTTTTTGTTAAGTTACTCTATTGTAATGTATTATGATCTGTATTATTTGAATTAGTGTTATGGTACAAATTAATGTTTGTTCTTGTTTATCTAAACTAGATTGCGCTTTAATTGTAAAGCTTAATAACTTAAAGCCTACAATACTATTAGATAGGACCTAAACCTTTCAAATGAATGTAGAAAATACAGGATGTAGGGCACAATAGCTTTCTGAGAGGATTAAAGCCGCCCGATAGAGATAATATTGCCTTTAGAGTTTTGCTGCTGCCCAATAGTACTGGTGTGTTGTCGTTATTATATATATAAATAAATTAAAAGAAATTGAATTTTCTAAACAAAATATTATTCACAACAGTTTATAGAAAACAACTTTTTTTAGCATTTACACTTAATATTTATTCTATCGCAGATAGTACTAGCAACCACTACTTTACCATTGTAAACTTTATCTAGTGTTGGCTTTCGACAATGAATACATTTACAAATTTTCTTATAAAGAACCTTGTAAATTGGTTCATCAACAAGATACAAGTGTTGATCCTACCAATGTTCATCTCAACTAGAATTTTATTTTACACGCATAAATTTTTATTATTAGTATGCAATGAAACAAGCTATATAAAAATATTAGTAACCAATCAAGTTGAAAGACCCCGCTGAGGGAAAGTAGGCAATCTTTCGGTTGAATCGCGCAAATTACCTCTCTTCTCGACGCGCCTTACGTAATCATTAATGATACTTTTTCTAAATACTTCTTGTAACTTGTTATTTTTTTATGTGAATGTATATTGTTTTGAATTTGGAATTATTCCCAAAAGAACGATTCAAACCTGCATAGTTAATGTTGTAATTACTGAAGATAAAACATGTCACTGGAAAGTTGTATGATGTTGTCATTGTATAATTAACACGCGTCACCACTTTCATACAACTTCGAGAGCTTTAAAAAATTAATTAGTTAAACATTGCACAAAATATTGAAAGTACGATATTATGTTCTTTTTGTATGTTCGATTATGTGTGATATGCCGTTATGATTTTGTACGTAGCAAATATATATAATTGTTCACTTTTACTATTTTAACAATATTGTTATAAATTGATTGGTAGCTAAATTGCTATCTAATATACTTACAAAACTATCTTTATTCTTAAAGGTATCTATCATAATGACAAATTAAAAAATAAACCCTTCAAATATTGATTTTTTCTTTGAAAACCCTCGCGAAATAAGCAATACTATCGTTTTATTTGTTTTTATATTTCTGTTGACGGTCTTTCTCAATTATTATCGAATATTATATTGATAATAAAAAAAAATAAGTAGAGTAAAATTACGTTTGTGCTTTGATTTAAAAGTAATATTAAGAATTGATGTCAAACTTTGCTTTTGGATATGTTATGTGAAAGCAAAGATCTTATATACCGTAGTAC